CCGAACTCCTTCAGGAACCGAAGGACAATCAATGATTTGGGATTTTTCGGGTCCTCCTGGAGGACCTCTTGGAGGCCTCTTGGGTCATGTTGGGCCATCTTGGAGGCTTCCTGGGCGAACTTGGAGGTATTTTGGACTCTCTTGGGCCGTCTTGGAGGCCGTCTTGGACAATCCTGAACGAACTTGGAGCCCATTTTGGACCATCTTGGAGGCCATCTTGGGCCAACGTGGCCATCTTGGAGGCCATCTTGAGCCGTCTTGGCGGATGTTTTCTGGGATTGGGGGTTTTCCGGGTGGCCGGCGGGACGGGCCGAAGCCCTAGGGGGAGTTCTTTTGGAAAAAGAACAAAAAACCGAAAAGGATCCAGCACACCAGGCACCCCTGCGATGAATCGACAGGGGGCGGCGGATCGAAGACGCCTACGGCGAATCACCGCCGCCCCCTGCCTTTGTGGAAGCGCCTATGTGTCCGACAGCTGGGCTAGAGCTTGGCCAAGCTATCGGACCATGTGTTCACCATGTGTTCCCCGAGTCGGTTTGGAAAAGTTTCGAGGAACGCGTGGGGGAGGAAGGGGAGGAGGAGGAGAAAAAGGAGGAAAGAGGAGAAGGGGTTTGCCTCTTCGGAACCTCTTGAGGCACTCTTGGGCTCGATTGGACCATGTTGGGACCGTCTTGGAGACCATGTTGGGGCTATCTTGGGCTCTATTGGGGCCTCTTGAGGGCCTCTTGGGACCCTTTGGGGGCTTCTCGGGGGCGTCTTTGGCCGTCTTGTGGCGTTCTTGGCCCGTCTGACGCCGTCGGGGGCCGTTTGGGGGGCCTCTCTGAAACAATTTGGGACCCTCATGGGGCGCTTCGGGTCCGTCTTGGAGGCCATCTTGGGCGTCTTGGAGGCCTCTTGGGCCATCTTCGGGCCTCGTTGGGCGGTCTTGGGGGCGTCATGGGTCGTCATGGGGCCATCTTGCAGGCCTCTTGGGCGATCTTGGGGGTCTCTTGGGCCGTCTGGGGCCGTCGGAAAGCCGAAAAGGCGCAAATGCCACAATCCTTTAAAAATTATGGGGAAATCAATGATTTGGCCTCTTCGGGCCTTCCTGGAGGACCTCTTGGAGGCCTCTTGGGCCGTCTTGGAGGCCTCTTGGGGGCCTCTTGGGCCGTCTTGGGCCATCTTCAGGCTATCTTGGGCCGTCTAGGGTATATCTTGGGCCGTCTTGGAGGCATCTTGGGGCCATCTGAGCCGTCTTGGAGGCCATCTTGGCCGTTTCGGAGGCATCTTGGTCGTCTTGGAGGCCATCTTGGGGCCGTCTGGGGCAGGAAAACCGTTTGCAACCACCTCTACCGGGTGCCGAAGCCCCAGGGGGAGTTCTTTGCGAAAAAGAACCAAAACAAAAGCCATATCATCCGGCACGCCAGGCACCCCTGCGATACATCGACAGGGGGCGGCGGATCCGAGTGGCCTTCGGCCCATCCCGTCACCGTGCCTGGGTTGTGGGTGTGAGGCCTCTTGTATATATGTTGGGGTGTCGTGGGGGGCCTCTCGGGACCCTCTTCGTTTGGGCGCCTCGCGGGGGCCTCCTGGGGCTTCGTGGGGTATCTTCTGGGTGTCTGGGGGCCTCTTGGGCGCGTCTTGGGCGCCTCTCGGCGCCTCTCGGCGCCTCTTATAGGAGATCGCGGCCTCGGGGGCGCGAGCGTGACGAAATTTCGAAATTTACGCAGGATCGGGTCTATTTGAAACTTGTGGTTCTCGCCGTAGCACGCGGGAGCTTCACGGACGCAGGGCGGGTCTATTTGAAACTTCTGGTTCCCGCCGTAGCGTCGCACATTTGCGCGTGAAAAACATTGCAAGCGCTTCGCGGGTGGATTGCAGTTTTTTTTCGAAATGATGTGCACATGGAAGTACACATGGATGAGCACGGCGCAGAAACGAGAGCCACGCCCTGAGGACTGCACGCCGCCGTCGTCCCGCGCGCACCCACTTGAAAATGTTTCAACACTATACCGGGTTCTTCCGGTTGGCGTCGTAGAATTGGTGTCCCGGCACGATTGAGGGTTGTCTAGGCACCGCAGTCACGTTGATTCGCGGTGTTGAAGTTCCAGGAATGGGGCGTTGTCCAAGGAGTGGCGCTCCGGCACGGTTGAAGATTCTCAGGCAATTATCCTCCAACGGGGCATTCTCAGCAGCGAAAAGAAATTCTCGTAGGGGCCAATGAAAAATGAACTTGGAGGGAGGGTTCATTGCAACATCGTTGATGCGCCTTGGGTTTACACTGGTCCTCCTCCTTCTCCTCCTCCTCCTCCTCCACCTTTTCTCTCCTTCTCCCCCTCATTTCCTGTCCACCTTCGTCCCCCCCCGCACCTCAGGATCTCGGCGAAGAGCCGACGGTCCCGTTCGACCGCCAGGAGTGGTGGTCAGCGCCGCCAGCGATCGGCGCTGGGGGAATGCAGTCGCAGGAGGGACCCGCTCCCATTCGTCGTCCGCCCACCTCCTCCGTCCATACTACTCCCCCCTCGACCTACTCCTTTCTCCTTCCTTCCGCCACCTCCACCTTCCTTTCCACCGACCTGTCACCCAAGCTACTTCTTCCTCCCCTCCCCCCTCCTTCTTCTGATGACTCATGCTCCTCGTCGTCGTCGTCCTCCTCCTTCCGTCGCCACCTCGGTTCAAGATGATGATAGCCTTCGGGCAGAGAATGGGAACCCCTGACCCGAGGCCAGATCCCAGTCTCCTTTCCATATACACGATCCCGGTGGCGAGCTGTCTTGCAGCCGTTGGCCCCTTCCATTGCTGAATCATTATGCTGGGCGGGTAAGCGGTGGAGTTTCCCGTTCCCGCCCAGCCGAGTGACATTGTGCGGTCTGCCCGCGCGTTGCCGAGCACGACGACGCATTCCCTCTACGACCCTCTACTACTACGACTCCCGCATTCCGCATCAGCACGACCCTCCACTACTGCACGGCCCCTGCTGTCCCATTTGCTCGCGACGACTGGTCTCCTGACCTCAGCCAGAGCCGCAGCGGCGGTGAAGGGCGCCGTCGGCGACGGCGCCATGCCTACCGTAGCCGCGACGACCCTCCCGAACGCGATGCGCCGTCTTCTGCTGCTGAAGCCCCTGACGGGGCGCCCCTCTGCGTTCCGAGGCGGGAGTTTCTACATGGCCACCGCCTGGAGGGTCAGTTCTCGGAGCGTCGGCAGGCGGTGGATATGGACATATCCGGGACCCCGGGGGCCGAAATAGATCCATGATCCACCGCCCGCTGGGGCACGAGGACGTCGCGGTCCCCAGGCGGTGGATATGGATAAATCCCCGCCTCGCATGCGCGGAGCCCCGGATCACCGACGTGGGCGAGCCCGACACGCTGCCGACGGGCGGGCCGCCCCACCGCAGCGGGCCGCGCGCCCTCGAGGCCCCAGCTGTGGCCCTCTCCTCGGCGCTGGCGGCGGCCCCGACTCCCTACAGACCCGCGAGGGTCGAGGCTCGAGGCTCGAGGATCGACCATTGAGGATCGAGGATCGAGGGTCGAGGGTCGACGATCGAGGATCGAGGGTCGAGGGTCGAGGATCGAGGATTGAGGTCGAGCATCTTCTGCTGTCGATGCCAACAAGGTGGATGACATCGCCCGAGCCATCGGCCGATCGGCAGGGGCAGTCACCGGTCCGTTCATTGGGGCAGGTGGTCCCTGATTGATAATCCAATGACGCTGTGACTCCTCGTGCTTCTCACTCGTCCCCGTGCTCCCCCTACTCCTCCTACCGCCTCCCTGCACCGTCCTCTCTCTGATCCTCCGACTCCCCCCGCTCCTGCCGCCTCCTACTCCTCTATCATCCTACACCCTCTGCTCCTCCTACTCATCTCTCGTCCTCGTGCTCCCCCTGCCCCTATCGCCTCCGTGCACCTCCCTCTGCTCCTCCTACCGACTGTCTCCTCCTTCACGGTAGGGTGGGAGGAGGACGAGGTGATGAAATTTTGTTGTTCCTCCCTGGCGTAACGCTCGTTACCCGCCCCCACATCCCCCCCCCTGGGTAACGCCGACGATCGTACTGGGGGGTGGCCTGGGCCCCCCCCCCCTACATGCTAGGGGGTGGACTGTGCTCACAGGCATGGCGTGGTGCTGACAGGCATGCTTTTGGCGCTCATAAGCGTGTTGTGGCGCTCGCAGGATCCCGCTTAGAAGTTTGCTGAGATATGGGGATGTGTACTCTACGATCGCGTATTATCCGCCGGTTTGTTTTGTTCGTCAATATACATTGTCGCGTGTGCCAACCGTGGTGTTGACAGTGCCTGATTGTTCACTGTGCCAACACGTATGCTGATTGTCCCAACTTGGCTGATTGTGCCAATGCCGTCACGTGGTCGCGTAGGAAGCGTCTCACGGTCAGCAGAAACGAGAGCCATCGATCGGTCGGCCGAGCAGTGACGATCGTCAGCTTGCGCTGGCGCCCGCAGCCCACCTGAGGGCTGGTCGCCGCGCGTAGCACCGACCTAAGGCGCGGATGTTGATTCCTCCTCCTCCTCCTCCTTCTCCTCGTCCTCCTCCTCCTCCTCATCCTCCAATTCCTCCTTCTCATATTTGTTCACGTCGGGCGGACTCTGGCAAATGGGTGGCAGGCACAATAGGTGGCACAACCGCCTGAGTGCAGACTAAGCGGTGCAGGAGGTGTGAAGAAAGGCGGAATAGTGGAGAGCCCGCGGGACTAGAGAGTATTTGGTTTGCAGGTGTCTGTCTCGTCTTCCTCCTCCTCCTCCTCCTCCTCCTCCTCCTCCTCCTCCTCCTCCTCCTCCTCCTCCTCCTCCTCCTCCTCCTCCTCCTCCTCCTCCTCCTCCTTCTCTTCTTCATACTAATCCTTCTCCTCATTCTTCCTTTCTCCCCTGGGTGATAGCAGGCTGCCTGGCGGCACTGTAGGGGGGTGCTGGGCAAGGAGGGGGGAGGCATAGGGGGGGAGGGGCAATGCTGCTTCTGGCGTGCCCATGCGCCCTTACTGGGGGCTGGAGGGGGGGCGCCCGTAAGGAGCCGAGCGCCCCCACGCAAGCGGGCCGCGAGGTCGAGGACCACGGGGCGCGGCGTGAGCCAAGCGCAGTGAGGGTGGGACAACCTCCTTGTTGGGCTCCTCCTCCAGTCCTTCCTCCTCCTCCACCTCCTCCTCATCCTCCCCGTCCTCCTTCTCATCCTCATCCTCCTCCTCGACCCTTCCCCTCCTCCTTCTCCTCCTCCTTCTCCTCTTCCTCCTCCTCCTCCTCCTCCCCCTCCCCTCCTCCTCCCCCTCCTCCTCTTCCTCCTCCTCCTCCTTCTCCTCGTCCTTCCTCCCCGGCCCCCTCCTCCTCCTCCTCCTCCTCTTCCTCCCCTTCCTCGGCCCTCCTCTTCCTCCTCCTCCTCCTCCTCCTCATCCCCATCCTCATCCTCATCCTTATCATCATGATCGTCATCATCATCATCATCATCAGCAGCAGCAGCAGCATCATCATCATCCTCATCACCCTCATCGTTACCAGCCAGCAACACCATCATCATCAGCATCAACATTATTATTATCATCATTATTATTATTGTTAGTATTATTATTGTTATTATTATTATGATTAACATCATCATTATGATCACCACGTTCATCATCATCAGCAGCATCATCATCATCATGAAATCAGGTACGCTCGTCCTACCCATGGGGCGCGGCGCGAGCGCAGCGCAGTGGGGGCGGGATGAGGGCATTGTGCACGAGCTGCGTATCACCCTTTGCTGACGGAAGCGGGCAACGCAAAATGCATCGCCCCATCATCTCAGCGTTTGGAAATCCATTGGGAATGCTTGGGACAACGCGCAAGGAAAGCACAGGTGGGTGCGGAATCATTCTGATACAACAGCCACTGACCAATGCACTCGACGCAAAAGAGAAGACATATCGAGATTAGGAGAAGTCTTGGAGCAACCCCCATCCTTCACGACATTCTGATCGGCTGCAGGCGTATCCTGGTATTCTGGGAACACCGGTTACAGCCAGCAGTGTGAGAAGGGTGTCGCGTGTGACGATACTTCTGATCACTGATGCGGATGCACCCCAGCGACAGAGAGAGAGAGAGAAAACAAGCAAGAGATATTAGAGAGTATGTGAGGTAGGTATAAACAGGAGGGGCAGCAATTCAATCCCCTGCTGTGATATACGAACCTCGTATGAAGACGGCACATAGGCGCTGCTGCTGAAATACCATGTACCGTACGAGTATACATATAGTTCGACACGACAGCACTCAGGCCCGACAGTCTGTGAGCAGGGGCGAAATCTAGACTAACATACGCTCCATCTCGACAGAGCTACGGTGAGCCGCACCTCACCAGAGCTCGAACCGCGCAACTGGTGCTAGATCATTCGCCCTGCCTTCTTTCACAGCATGGTCACGCCAGCAACTTTCGACTCCAGCTTGCCTTGCCTTGTGTCCGCCTGCAATCAACAGTCTGCAAGAGTGCCTCCAAGGTTTGGGTGAAAACGACAGGCGTTCAGAGCAATCGATACTTCAAGACGATCGGCTGCGAATTGCATCTAGATATGTGTTTTGCACAGTGGCTCCATGTTCATAAAGATGGACTTTGCGAAGAATTTTCGCCGCAGCCCAACACATTTCTCCCCGCCCACCAGCCGCATTCATTCACCATCGAGGAAGAAGCGCGAGGGAACGGGGGAGAGTGAGCAGGAGGAGGAGGAGGAGTGGGAGGGAGCCGGTGGGATGACGGAGGGTGGGACAAAGACAGATGCTGGATGAGAGAGGAGTAGGTATAAATACGTTGAAGAGAGGGAGGTTAAGAGGAATAGGTTTGAATACGTTGGGGAGGAGGAGGTTGAGAGGAGTGGGTTTGAGCACGTTGACCAGAGACGAACAGCCCAACCAGCGGATGTCCTGAAATTCGCGCAGGCGCTCCACGCCTGCCCTCTCCTTCTCTCTTTCTCTCTCTCGCTCTCGCTCTCGCTCTCTGTCTCTCTCTCTCTCTCACTCTTTGTTCTGTCAGCTGTATTCTTTGTCTGTCTACAGTCTCCGTTTCCTTGATGTGCCCTCACGCCGTGCTCTGCACTCCGAACGCCGCAGGCCAATTCTCCGTTCAAAGTACGTATATACATATATGTGCACATCTGCATGGATACGTTCAGTGTTCGCGTGTGTGTGTGCCTCTCTATACCTGGGTGTGCGCGATCTTTCTCTCTCTCTCGTTCTCTCCTTTCGTGCTTTCTTCTCTCCATAGACCCGAGGTCGCCCTATGCTGAACGTGCTCTCTGCTATGGATTATCTCCATGTATGTATACTTTTCCTCTCTCTCTTTCTCGATATATATATATATATATATAGCCAACCTCTCCGACATGTATTATTTATTTCCAAATACTGTATACACCTCTCAGTCTGGATTCCACTTCCATCTTTCAGGATTGTATCTAGCAGTGGTCGCACATACCATCTCTCTGTCTCTCTATATATATATATATATACATCCTCATATGGCTCTTTATTCCGTCTCTCCTCTCTCTCGCTCTGTTACGTTATACGACCTTTCTTACCCTGTGTATTCTCACGGGTCGATGTATCCTGTGTTCTCTATCTTCTACTCTTCATCCCCTCTGAATTACTCTGATCTCTGCTCCCTCATTTCTCCTCTGCGCGCCCTGCTAGATCCACGTATGCTCTCATGCCGACTGTGGCTGCGAGAGCTTGAAGCCCCACCCGCACCCTGAACCCTGGGACCAGCACCGGCAACCTGGGAGACGGGCCGCCCACCGACCATCGGCCTGGAACCCCCGGACCGGCGAACCTTGGAGCACGTCCGCCCCACGAGCTCGGCCTCGGCACGTTCGCCTGCTCGCTCAGGCTCCAATGGGACCCCTTCGGTGCAAGCACTGTGGGGGGAACTCATCTCTGTTCGCACTGTCTACTTGAAAGTTGTCTCTCTGTCTTGCTTCCATGTTCGATATGTTTGTTTTTGTTTGGCTTCCTCTCTGACTCTCTATATATATATGCGCAGGTGCATACCTCTAAATGTAAAGAAGTCTCCCTACGCTTTCTCCCTCCTTCCCTCTCTTTCTGTCTCTCGACTCGCTTTCTCTCCCTCTCTCTCTCTCTCGTTTCTTTCGGCCATATTGTATTAACCGTGGGAATACATAACCGATTCCCCCCTTACCCGTAGCGCCAACAGACATTATGTTTTAGTCCCAGGGGGGGAACCGCCGAGCGATATCGTTAGCACCCCAATCAATTAAACAATCATAGACGTTTCTCGTAACTCCACCTGCCCATCCAGAAACTACGCCCAGGCGAGTTGCCCTGAGCAGGCATGTGAGGAAGCACGCGGTGAAATAATGGTTGGGAGGCTGCGCACCCGACTCGGAGGATGGAGAAAGAAACAGAGGAGGAGGTGGAGGAGGAGGAGGAGGAGGAGGAGGATAAGAGGAGGAGGGGAGGGGGAGGAGGGAGGAGGGAGAAGAGGAGGAGGGGAGTGGGGGAGGGTTCGGGGGACGAGGAAGAGGAGAAGGAGTAGGAGGGCGAACAGAAACGCCAGGGGCCTATTGGATATTTCTCGGAGTCTCTTCGGATGTCTCCATAACGCTTCTCGTAGGCCTGCTGGGGCGTCTTGCTCTTGGCTGTCCCGGGGGCCTCTTGACGCGTCTTGGGCGCCTCCGGAGAGCCTTTTGGGGACTTTTGGGGGTCTCGTGCGGGCATCTTGGGGGCATCTTGAGGGCCTCGTAGGGCTTCCTGGGCGCCTCTTCGGACCCTCTTGGGGCACTCTCGAAAGCCTCGGGGGCCATGTTGCGACAATCGCACAGGTGATCGATCCAAGAGGGGAGGGAGCCAATTATCGACTAGAAGTAAGAGTGACCTTTCGCCGGAGTGACCTTTGGTGAGGGCACAGATGGGCCCTCAGATGGCTGAAAACGAAGCGGTAGCAGCGTCTTGCGCGCCCAGGTTTTGGTCTCCCCGCGGCCCCCCAAAAACCGCGCACCAAAGGTCACTCTTACCCAGGGTCACCCTTGCGTGTAGTCGAAATTAGGCGGCCCACAGGAGTCCAACACTGGCCCAACCCGTTTGTCGAATCCATTGTTTCGGCCCTCTCGCCGAGGCCACCTTGGACGCTCTAACGCCCCGCCGCCCCCCGCGTCCAGGTCCAGGGGTAGGGGGTTAGGGGGAGGGGTAAACGTCTTCCCGAAGGAGAAGAAGAGGGCGCGGAAGATTAGAAAGTTGGTGGAAATCTCACGCAATGCCAAGCAATGCCAGGCAACGATCACGAGCAATGCAAATGCGACGCCAAGCAATGCTTTATTCTACATTGCTTGCATTGCTCAGAACTGTTTCGAGTTGACTGGGAAGATAAAGGTCCCCATATTATTTTGGCGGTGGAACTTGCTGCCTTCTTCTGCAGAGTGCTGGAGGGCAACCCTCAGTCCAGTATGCCCCTCAGCTTCTTCTTATTCTTCCTCGTCGGCGGCACTCTTGATCCACGGCCGACAGTATGAAGGGGGGGTGTTGACTGTTGTCTCACCACAGTGGCGCACACAGCCCAGACATGCGACGTCTTGATTTGTCCCACTACGGAGCCCCCGGAAGTCCGGACGCTTGCCCCGGGGCCGGATTCTCATAACGACGACCCCAAAGTCATCCACTCTTCTTACTAAGATTCTGATTCAAGGAACGGGTCACCCCCGGGGGACCCCGCAGGCGGAAGTCCGTTGAGAATTTGTTTGGGGCGTTCGGACCGCGCGACCGCTGATGCGGACGGGGTTAGGCCTAGAAGCCGTCATTTGTCTTTCGGGTGTTGTTGGGGCTGTGGTGTGGCGTTAGGAGAAATATGTCCGAGCCTGTAGCGTTTCTCTCTATAAATACACGTTTGATTACAAGATGCTCAATTGCTCTATCTCTCAACGACGCCCTCCGCGACGTGGCTTGTACTCTTCACGGTTAACTTCCCAATCTATCAATCGGGCCGTGGCCGCAAGGACCTAGGCACCTGGTCGCAACCAAGAGTTCGAAGACCAGGAGTCTTTACGACGCCGGGAACCCCAGACGTGGAACAGAGAGCCGCGACCCTGGCTTCCCACCGAACTCGGCCCGCGAACCCAGTAACTTTGGGACTAGGATTGTGGAGGACGATCAATGGAGAGGAAGCAGGTTGCCAAATAATTTCCAGATGTCTAAAACACGTGTCAAACATGTTTTTGAACATGTAAAAGGACATGTTCACAACATGTTTAGAACAGCATTCCGACATGCAAAAAAAACATTTCAAGTTCAATGATCGGACTGTTAGGGTGTCCATTGTCGTGGCATCCACAAGACTAGAAGCGCGGGAATCCAGCCGCCTCCCGAAGCCTGCGCCGTACATTCGCCTACGCTTTCGAGATCCGCCAGGAGCCCTTGAGTGCAAGAGGAGGAGGAGGAAGAGGAGGAGGAGGAAGAGAAAGAGGAGGAGGAGGAGGAGGAGGAGGAGGAGGAGGAGGAGGAGGAGGAGGAGGAGACGGAGGAGGGAGGAGGAGGAGGGAGGAGGAGGAGGAGGAGGAGGAGGAGGAGGAGGAGGAGGGAGAGAGAATGTGCAATTTCCGCCTAATTCCTTTTGTCCAGTTATTCTCCTCATCCATCCTCAGTTGATTCCCTTCTTCATGCAGCGCTGCCCTACCATCCTCCAGTTCCTCCAGACCCTCCCGCGCTCCTTGCTTCGTTCTTCATGCCTCCGTCGTCGTCCTGCACCTCCTCCTCCTACTCCTCCTCCTCCTCTTCCTCCTTCTCCTTGGCGGAGGGCACACACCAGGACTCGGCTGCCCTCCGCAACGCCGTCTGCAAGGCGTGCGAGGGGCTCGCCTGGCAGCTCATCAGCATAGTGGAGGACGCCCGACGCGAGGGATCGGGGGGGAGACGGGGTGGACGGGCAAAGGAACGGCGAGGAAGAGGTGGATGAGGGGGACGAGGAAGAGGAGGAAACCGAGGAGGAGGAGGAGGAGGAGGAGGAGGCGAAGGAGGAGAAGGAAGAGGAGGCGGAAAGGGGGGACGATGAGGAGGCGAGGACGGGAAGGAGGACGGGGGAGGAGGACCGGGCAGGAGGAGGGAAAAGGGGGAGGAGGTGGACAAAGAGGTGCAAGAGGAGACAGCCGATGAGAGGAGGAGGAGACAGAAGAGGAGGAGGAGGAGGGGGAGGAGGAGGAGGAGGAGGATGGGGACTGGAGGAGACAGAGGAGGATTGCGAGGAAGGAGCCAGAGGATGAGGAGGCGGACGCTGATCAGAAGGAATGGAGGGGGGGGTGGCAGGGGCGATAGGAGGAAGGAGGAGGAGGAGGAGGAGGATATGGTGGTAGGGAGGGCAGAAGCTGGAGGAGGCACGTGGCATGGTTCTCGCCAGCTCGAGTCTAGATGTCTCGTGGACCGCAAGGGGAAGTCAATTTGAGTCCATGTATTCCTCCTCGTCCTCCTCATCCCAGTCCTCCGTTTCTGCCTGTCCTTATTCCCTATTGGTCTCTCTCTCTCTCTCCCTATGTATGTCTATATACATATACATATATAGATATGTATCCCCAGCCGATGGCCGCCCAATTTGGGACGTCCCATCCCATTCGTCAAGCAGATCATGCGGAGTCGGTGATATAGTTTTCCGTCTCACATCATCACACGGACGTGTTGCTGCTGACGCTGCAATACTCGATGCAGGAGTTGGGCGAGGCGCGCACTGCGCGCGAACGTTCGGAATGTCGCCTTCACCTCGGCGCCGCCCCACTTCTCCTGGAGAGTTGAGGGCCTGCTTGGGCGCGGTGCCCATGGTGTCGCTCGCCAGCTTGTCGGCCACAGGGACGCGCGCGAGCGGGTGAGCCGCGGCTCTCACCCAGGCGCCGGCTCCATGTGTTCTCCTGCCCGTGCGCGGCCCGTGCTCTTCCCTTCGCCAAGCCGTCGGAGGTGGGGCCGTGCGCGAGCGCGTTCCGTCCGCTTGATAGGAGCGCACGCCAGTTCCAACATCCACTTGGGCCATTCGTTTCTTATGTTGTGGGAGGGGGGGGTAAGTGGGCGGGGCCCGCTGGCCCTGTGCGACCCAGCGATCGTGACTCCCCCTCCTCCTCCATCCCTCGTCCTGATAAATGCCCCCTGCCGGGCGACCAGGCGCGCTGGCAGGCCAGGCCCAGCGTTCTGATGGAGAATGGGCGTTTTCAAACTGCGCCTTTTCGCCCTAGCGCCGCACACTCGCTGTACAGGTTGCAAACAGCTTCAGTGATAGAAGGTTGGTGGTTTTCCAAGTGGGGCTCTCGCCGTAGCGCCACGCACATTCGTTTCGAAAGTATCCAACAGGTGGAGGCTGAGTCGGTTCGCTCCAGTGTTCGTCAGAGTCTACGCACCGAAGACGCAAATAGTGGAACAGTTGCACGAATGGACGGCGGCGTCTTTTCAACACGCGGCTACCGCGTAGGTAAATTGCCCGCCAATGTTATCATTAGAACTTCGACATTGTGCCCAGGTTCAAATGATAGGCGGCATGTGGCACATGCGTTTATACCAGACGGGGCTATTGCTGGACATGTATTTGGACTTACTGATCATCCTGACCTTTTGGGTGTCGTTGGCCTAGAAGGATGGTGGTGGATAGCTTGCAAGCGGGATCTTGCCTGACTCGCAGGCCCGCCGGGCGTTCATAGCCTTCCAAGGGTTCTCTTTCCCCGCAGCGGACATGCCTGGTGGGGTCTTATGATGAGGGCGCCTGGAACGTGAGGGTGTACTACAGCATCGCTGATGCATCGTGGAGTTACTCTAGTCCTCCTACTCCTCCTACTCCTCCTCCTCCTCCGCCTCCTCCTCCCACTCCTCCTCCTCCTCCTCCTCGTCCTCCTCCTCCTCCTCCTCCTCCTCCTCCTCCTCTCCCTTCTCCTCCTCCCCTCCTCTTCCCCCTCCTCCTCCTCCTCTCCCCACCATTCCCCCTCTTTTCCCTGCCGCCCCTCTCCCCATCCCGTCCCTGCCCCGCCCTGTCCCACCAATGATCTCCCCTGCCGCTTCGCTCTCCTCTCTCTCCTTCTCCCACTTCCTCACGCCCTCCCCCTCGTCGCCATCGCCCTCGTTATCCTGCTCCCGTATCTTTTCTTCCAACGCCCTCCCCATCTCCAACGCCCTACCCTTCTCCAACGCCCTCCCCATCGCCAACGCCCTCCCATCTCCAACGCCCTCCAATTTCCAACACCCTCCCCATCTCATGCGCCTCAGTGCCTCCCTTTCGCTTTCCCAACCCCTTCCACTGCCGGAATTCCCCAATCACTGCAAGGAGCAAGGCGCTCTCTCTGCAGGTTGCACCCAGGAGGGTCTCTTAATAAAACAAATTATCAGCATAATTTGGGGCAGGGGTAGCAGGGAAAGGGGATGAATGTTCTTGCTCGTGGCGGACAGGATACTCCTTCTTATGTGACCAGGCCCTCTGTCATCGCGATTCTGTATTACTTGTCCAAGTGAGTGGACATTCGTCAGCCTAGATCTGGATTGTGCAGGCTTCTTGGCCGCATAATCGGGCACCCGCTATTGGAGGAAGAGCGAAGGTACGTTGGTGTTGGATGATTGTGAGGTATGTGTCCGGTTAACGTTGGCTGCATGTGCGGCACGGGGTCGTTAGGGGCGCACGTTGGGTTCTTGGTTCTTGGTCCCAGTGCGTATGTGTGTGGTGTGTTGTTGTCGTTGGGGGGTCAACCGATTTACTTAAACGCAGGTTGAACGTTGCAAGTTCAAGTTTCGCAGTCGTCAGCGTCCTCTTCGCGGCGCTGAATATGTGCTTGCTCGCGGTCCTCATAAAAAGATCGGGGGCGCTGGGGGTGGCGTGGTGTTACGGAGTATCGCGTCGTGATTGGTCTCGCTCGATCATTATTTTGATTCACTCGCTCGCTCTTCCTCTTCCTCCCCCCATCGTGCGCAGCGCTGAGTGTGCATACCGCCGTCGAACAGAGCCACCCTCCTCCCTTATCTCTCCTCTCTCCTCCTGCTCCTCCTCCCTTCTCTCTCCTCCTGCTCCTCGTCCTCCTCCTTATCCTCCTCCTCCTCCTCCTCCTCCTCCTCCTCCCCCTCCTCCCCCTCCTCCTCCTCCTCCTCCTCCTCTCCTCCTCCTCCCCCTCCTCCTCCTCCTCCTCCTCCTCCTCCTCCTCCTCCTCCTCCTCCTCCTCCTCCTCCTCCTCCTCCTCCTCCTCCTCCCCCTCCTCCTCCTCCTCCTCCTCTCTCTCTGCTCCTCCTCTCTGCTCCTGCTCTCTCCCCCTGCTCCTCCTCTGACCCTCGCCCCCGGCTCCCGCCAGGGCCCTGGAATGGGCTCCATCCTGGATGGGATCGGGCCCACGAGACGGAAAGGTGACCCCACCCCCCACACCCTCAGCGACTCGAGGACCCCCGCCCGGGTGCCAAACCCCAGGGCGCTTGTGCGACTTGCATGGCCGCCTGCGTTTTTTGCTCGTCGCGCACAGTCGCGATGGTGCATGGCATGGTCTGGTGCTCGAAACCGTTTCCACTCTAGGAGAGTGATAGAGGAGCGTGAACGTATCGACAAGTTGGTTTAGTTGCGCACTGAGGCTACCACCCCTCTGGGACATGACCATCTGCCGAGCATTCAGACAGCCTTGCCCCCGAAGCCAAGGACACTCTTGACCCGGGTCCCCCAGGACCAGGCTTCAGTACCTTGAGCTCGTCTCCACTGACTGTTCATGGCCCGAGGGGGTCTGGGCTTCTCACCTCCCCCCCCCCCAGGCTGGCCGCCGAATAGGCGCTGGACCCGGGGGAGCCCGCTGCAAGCCCCTGCCGCTTCTTCTCGGCTGCGCCCTCCCCCCGCGCCACTTGCGGCCCCCAAGGACCACACGCTGCGCGCCAGTCGGCCGGCGGCGTCAGGCTGCCTCGGCCTTCCCCGCCTTACGGTCGGACCGCGGTATAAGGTCGAGGTCTGCTCGGGGAGGGTACTAATGATCTTCGTATTTGTTGGATGTTATTGTGCATCCTGGGGACGGCACCCTCGAATGTTGTGTGTGGGTGTGGGTGTGTGTGTGTGTGTTTTGGCCGGCGATGGTCTCACGTTCTGGAAAGATGCTTTTCCATCCCTGGTCCGGCTGTATTTCCCTCCATCCCCCCCTCCCTCTTCCCTTTCCCATTTCCGTTCCCAGACCCCCTCAGGCCATGAAAAAAATCACGACGGGAGATTTGTCCCTATATTTCCAGCCTCTCGGGGCCCCTACCCGGCTTCGGGACCGTCAGAAACGGCTCATCATGAAAAACCGGTCATGGGGAGCGGGTCGAGACCTCTGGGGGTCGACGCCTTGAAAAATCATGACGTCGGAGGTTTGGGATTATTTCCCTGCATCGCGCCCTCCCTCCCTCACTCACTCCCGTCCTCCCCACCTTCCCTCACCCTGCCTGTCGTTGGTGTGATCACCTCCCTCCTGATGTTTGCAGGTTCTATCGCCGCCTTTACCGGCTTGGACGCTTGTGGCATACCTCATTCATGCATTCATTCTGTCGTTGGTGTGATCACTTCCAGACCTTTCCAAGGGCAGCGTTGCGCGCCGCGCGCCGCCTGGTTAAACGGGGTGGCCGCTGTCCTTTCTTTTCTCAGCGTCGCGCGCCGCCTGGTCAACGTCGCCGGCCGACTGGCGACGTTGACCAGGCGCCTTTCGCGGCGCGGGTGGGTCGTGGCCCTGCCGAGTCGCGGTTGGGTCGAGTCGCGGGCGGGTCGCGGGAACGTGGCGACAAACATAACAAGAACAAGGCAATCAACGATCAGCTTAATACTGTTATTCCTTTGTTGCTGGCGTGCCCTTCAACATGTTCACACCACACACTCCATACCCGCCCTCTACGTCGTCGATCGTACCATTTTTTAAGGGAATATCTAGCTGCCTGCGGTAAGTCACAGCACCGTGCCAGTACGGTAGGTTCGCGTCGTGTCGACCGGCGGCGACCCCGCCGCGGGCGTTCAAGCTTGAACGCCGCCAGTGGCCCAGAATCGGCCGATATGGAACGATCGAGCGATCCACAGTCGCCGATCGTTCAAGGTTGAACGATCCACGCGGAGTCAGAAACCAACGCCGGGGTCGTCACGACACGAACCTGACGTACAGCATTCTCGGTGGCCCCTGCGCGAGGGAGACGGGAGGCCCTCACGTGCGACGCGTCGAGTGGCGATGGCTGCACTCACTGCGGTGACGGTTGGAGCAGGGCCAGGAAGCCGTCGCATGCGACACATCGTTGGATTTGAGGTGTTTTGGGGTTGTTCCGGGGCTCTCTGCGGCGACCGCTCGGGCAATACCGACAGTTGTCATATGTGGCACCTCCGTTGTTTCTGGCCCCTCTTGCACTGCCGTGATTCACTCATGCAGCGGAGTATGGTTATGAGAGGCGAGGGAAGGTTCTGAGAACGTTCTGAACGATGACGGTGATGATAATGATGAGGATGATGATGTTTATTGTCATTTTAGTGGCAATGATGGTCATGATGACGACGAGAGCGAGGTCGGTGGTGGTGATGATGATATTGATTATGATGACAAGGAGGACGAGAAAGAGTAGCAGCAGGAAGAGTAGCAGGAGGCGGAGGAGAACCGTCACAGGTGATACCTCTAGTCTTCACCTCTCGATGAGCTCACATGAACACTATGTGCCCTGCCTTGGTGCTGTCCTCGGTTCCCGTGGGGCAGTCTTGGCGATCCCTTAGGGCCGTGTTGGGACCCTCTTGGGCCGTCTTGGGGGCTCTCTTGAGGCCCCGGTTTTCCGCCTGCAGAGTCGTGCGGGGCTCTCGTGAGGCAGTCTTGCGCCGTCCAGGGATCGTCTTAGGCCATCTCGGGTCTCTCTGGAGGTCCTCTTGGTCGAATCGGAGGCATGTTGGGCCATGCTGGCGGCCTTGAAGGCCTGCCCAGGCTATCTTGGAAGTCGTCTTGATCGTCTTCGTTCGACTCCGCGGAGAGCGCCAGAGACGTGTCCGGGCGCCGACAGAGCCGTGGGGAGTGGGGGCGATGCGCGCGGGCTAGCGGTTCGAGAGGAGGAGTAGTGGCCCCTGGAAAATTACAGGATCCCTGTCAGACAGTGCCTCGCACTCCAGCACGCCTCACGTGCCAGGGTGCACGGTGGCGGATCTTCCTGGCCAGCCACATGTAGCCGGCGCAGGGACGAGGAGTACGAGGAGAGGAGGAGGAGGAGGAGGAGGAGGAGGAGGAGGAGGAGGAGGAGGAGGAGGAGGAGGAGGAGGAGGGGGATGAGGCGGAGACGGAGGAGGAGGAGGAGGAGGAGGAAGAGAAACGCCACATGCACATGCATCAGGTCCGCTCAACGCAAAAAGGAAGAGGAGGAGGAGGAGGAAGAGGAGGTGGAGGAGGAGGAGGAGGGAAGAGGAGGGAAGCGGAAAAAGGGAGAGAGAGAGAGAGAGAGATAACGAACAAAAAAAAAAATGAAGGAGGAATCGAGAACGCAGGGGGGCAAGCGGAAGGGAGGCTGATTGAGGGCGAAGCAGATTTAGCAGGAGGGGGAGGAGAGAGGAGCAACAACCTCGGCAAGCGGACCCTAACGGGCAGGCTGGCCCTGACGGGCCGGTCGGGCGGGCGGAGCTTGACGGGCACGTGGCGGACAGGCGGGGCGTCCAAGCAGGCGGGCTTCCAAGCAACGCGAAAAGACCCACCTTGAAGGGCAGGCCAGGCGGTTGGAGGAGGAGGAGGAGGAGGTCTGGAGGGCGGAAAGGGGTATGGCATAAAGGGGTGTGGTGCCAATCATGGAAATCGAGATGCTATCTGTCTGCAATAGATGGCATCGCTAGACTCAACATTGACACCATACACACTGTTCAATTTTAATTATTCGAAAGTTCTTTGATTATTGGGGGGCCAAGATCCTTTCATTTCTATTTTTTCTATCCTGGGCCTCTTCCTGGCCACTAGGGGGCCAGGAACAATTAGAAACGAACGCATTCAGAAATGAGCACAATTAGAAATGAACGACGTGTACCCCTTTATGCCACACCCCTTTCAGGAGGAGACAGGCGGCCGGGCGGGCGGACCCTCACGGGCGGGCCGGACGGGCGGGTCGGACGGGCGGATTCAACGGGCGGGTCTGGCGGGATGTTTAGGGCGGCGGGCGGGCGTCCAGGCAGGCGAGCGGGCGGGCCTCAACGGGCGGGTCGGGCGGGCCCTGGCAGGCGGGTCGGGTGTGCGGCCCCAAACGGGTGGGTCGGGCAGGGCGGGTCACTGAGGTTCATGTCGCACGCTGCGGAGATGCCTCGGGCGGGAGCGCGGGTCCTGAGAGGGTTGTGGGGAGGTCTCGTGCGCGAGCGCGACTCTTGAACGTCGAGAGCGCAGTGCCTCAGGAGGGCGTAAAGGGAAGTCCAAGAAAGAGAGAGAGGGAGAGAGAGAGAGAGAGAGAAAAAAAAAAAAGATGGCGCGATTCCAGTGTAAACCATTGCAAGGAAGTGTAGCATTCAACCGCGTTTCTGATTAATGTGTGAGGAGCTATCAGGCGGGAGCCTTTGCTGCTGTCATTGTTGCTGTAGCTTGGGGTCCAACAACGCAGTTTGACGCTCAAGCCATCACCTCATGAAAGACAAGGCGCGAATCCCAGAGGGGACACTTCGATTGAAAAACGCAATGGGCACCCAGCAGGGGTGAACCAACCATAGATGTTGTACTACTTTGACATCCGTGGTGCAACTCTACTCACCGTGGTAAAATTCGACTCACCCATTCACGTTTACGACGTGCTAGCCGTGGGGGCCACGCTACACCAGATCAAGAACATGTTGTCCGACATCTAGAAAGAGACCTCCAAGGTGGGATCATCTTTACACCCCGACATGACACATATATTCACAAACGCGACCAAGAAGTACGGGAGACCGGCCAACGAGACCGTGCAGATCGACATCATCACCGCTGAGTTTTTTGCACAGAGCGCGACCATCAAATACCTTGGGCGTCTGGTATCTTGTGACAGCCCGCGCGAGTGCGAGCTGGCAAATCGTATCCGGAAAGCATGGGCAGCCTACGGAATACACAAACAAGAGCTGACTAGCCGCGCATACCCCCTACGGGGCCGAATTCGTTTGTTCACCGGGACGGTGGCACTTAGACTGCGATGTGGAAGCGAAGTTTGGCCTATGGCACGCAAGGCAGAACATCAAATCACATGTGTGCAACGGCGAATGCTTAGGCAAATGTCGGGAACAAGACAGAAAGTGCCCCCCTCTGGCACATTCTGATGCGCATTCTTCAGAAGTTAGCTGCGCAGACATCGACATCGACCCCATGTCAGAAAATTGGTTCGTGCCTTCAGACACTTCCATGGCCGCGCGGTCGGAATCCTGGCCAGGTTTTATCAAGAGAGCGACGCGCAATGCTGAAGACCAATTACAAGCATCCAGTGTGGAATCATGGGTGCACCAACAGAGACGGCGCAAATGGCAGTGGGCATGCAGAGTTGCAACTATGGAAAAACATCGGTGGGCTTCACAAGTAATGGGATGGGAGCCGGCGCGAACCAGTAGTATTGCCTGTCGTTCGGCCGGCAGACCAAAAACAAGGTGGGACGATGACATCCGGGACTACATGTTATCACAGGGCATCGGTTCTTCATGGCACGCGTGCGCGGCACAAGAGGCTGCGTGGAACTCACCCGAAGAAGGATTCGTAAAGAGGTGAGCCCAGCTAAGCCGCGTGAGCCTGCCAAGCACACGCCATCTCTCCCCCTCTTTCTTGTTCCTTCTATTGTGGTTTTGTTATGTCTTGCCTATCTGAACGAAACTCTTTCTCTCTGTCTTGTTTTCCACACTGACGCGAAGCATTTTCCAGTGCACCGGGTTGCCGGGATTGCGTGTCCCATACGCTTGCCCTCTGAGAGGACTGGAGCGCGGCCGGGTC